GCAAAGGATAGCTTTACAAAGGGTTTCACTACAGAATTCTTCTGCATCCTTAACTCCCCTGGTGAAAAATTTTGGTCCAACTTGATAGAGAAGCTTAGAGGATAGAGGAAATAATGGAAAATACTGGAAATCACTGGCAATTAAAGAGCAATCAGAAAGAAATATTAAGCTCTCTAAAATTATAAAGTAATTCAATTTAGAATAAATTCAATTTATACTAAAATTGCCAAGGTTATATCTATTACCCAAAAAGACATTCCTGTACATGTAAAAGTATCTTACTGGGCATATGGTGGCTATATTTTCCAGGGGGGAAAAGATGCATAGATTTAATCAGTTCAGTTAATATATTTTAAACACAGACCAACCAGTTATTTGCTCTTTAAAAACTAGCAAAAACGGATTTACTGATATTTTTCAACTTTATTTTCCAGACTTGTAGTTTACAATGTACGCAATAGAAAAGATACTGGAACTAAATGGAAATTATTATAAATACATGAAAAATGTGATGAAAAAAATTGTTGGAGCATGGCATACTGGTTGTAAACTTGTATTCAATTTGTACTACGTGGAGGTCAACTTAGAAATGGAAATAACATGCCATGGACAGTTCCATTTTTTAGAAGAGTTTATCCATCCCATTCATGATCTTAGTGATCTTGTTCATTCTCTGAGAAAATTCTGGTAAAATAATACACAATGTGCACACCATTGAATAATCATTGATAAATAGGCCAAAACAAATTTAACTTCGAAAACAATTAAATGTTAATAATGACATATGTTGTGTGCATGGTGGAGTTTATTCTGACTCACAGCAACCCTATAGGACAGAGTAGAACTGTCCCATAGGGTTTCCAAGGCTGTGATCTTTACAAGAGCAGATTGCCAGGTTTTTTTCCTTCCATGGAGCTGCTAGTGGCTTTGAACCACCCGCCTTTAGGTTAGCAGTCCAGTGTTTAACCATTGTGTTACCAGGGCTCCTTAATATGATGTATAGGGTAGTGAATTCTACCGGTTTTGTTTTGGTAGATAATGGGCTCTCAGAGTAATCTCACAGATGAAATAGAAGAGCAAACTCTAGGGAAGATACAAGAACTGAATGGAAGCTACAACAAGTACATGGAGAGTGTGATGAACCAGCTTCTGAGCATGGTCTATGACATTAAACCAGAAACCCATGTGAACTGCAGACCCAGCAACTAAATACATGCCCTAGTCTTCAATAAATGGTGTATGTATGCTGCCCAGTTGCTTATGCCTTCAGGTTTTAAGGAATTTAAAATGTTGATCTTAAATTTACTGGATATCTACTAATTTCAATGTGACATAGTTTGTACATGGGCATTGAATTAAAAACAAAGCAAAACAAAAAAAATACTTGTTGTATCTTTCCTGGAAATAGATATAACTTGTCATTTAACTTGGAGAAAGGCAAAAAGATAGAGTGACATGTCTTCTGACACTTAACAGAAAAACATGGTTTTACCAGCTTCCTGGTGTTATTTTTTAAATTTCTTCTTTATATTAATTTAGAA